TTCGAGTGAAGCCGTGCCAACTGAAAGATGGCGGCTGCAGCAGCCATCTTACGAGGGGCATGATGAGCGGTTAGCGTTCGGAGATTGAGAAGGAGCGTTTTCCCAGCAAGCCCAACCAGTTTAACGTGGCAAACTTGCAAAGTGAGATAGTGCTCAAACAGCGTCCTTGTGTTACTAGTTTTTCTTCGTAGGCCTCAAATTCATGGCAAATTTTGATGAACATTGTCTTCGATAATCGTTTCTATTGGTTATTTCATCGGAAACGACATTCTTTTCATTTCAAATAAGCGTAACCTTTGGACTAACAGGCCAAAACCATTTTATCTATGAGTGGGCACCACTGAAACAGGGCATTTTTCTGGATTTTTCGAGGGCAAAAGCTGGCTTCACTATCGCTGGCAAGGCATTGCGTGAGCTCCCACCTTAGCTTTTTTTTTTTTTTAAACCTCCTTGACCGGGAAGAGTGCTTACAGGACGCGTGTGTGTGAAAAGCAGGAGGTATTGTCACTTTATTTTCAAGCAAACGAAGTTATTTCAATTGTATTTCAAAGAAAGAAAAGTGGCTGTGTGGTACAACATCTGCATGCCACGCAAACGACGTGGGTTCGTCCGTCACTTGGGCCCGAAAATTTTTGTTAGTCATTCTTTTTATTGTTTAGTTGTTGTCAGAATGATTATTTTTCTCTCGTAACTAATGACTCCCACAACTGCAACAATGCCGACACCTGAATTAAGCTAAACGAGCTCTTTTACGCAATCACGTTTATATATGTTAGGAGTTTCATTTACCAAGAAATGGAGGTGCTGAAGAGAAGTATGGAAGGAATTCCATCAGAGCCATTTGTTCTAGTGAAGTAGCATTTTTAAAAATTTCTCTTTACTGTAATTATCAGTGTTTCATGCAGAAAATTTTTCAGACCTACTGCCAACACATAATGAAGCCAGTCGGCATTGTGTGTATTTACTGTACAGTTATGGCATTCGGATGCCTTCAATAAAATTTAGGACATTATACTGCAGTGTGCTGAACACTTAAAACCATTGCTCTGCCTTTTAAAGTTTTAACCGACCAACCGACCGACCGACCGACCGACCGACCGACCGACCGACCGACCGACCGACCGACCGACCGACCGACCGACCGACCGACCGACACACTGACCGACCGATAGTGTAGAGAAAAGGACGAGCCATCGTCTCCATCGCGAAGCCTACCCGTCGACCTCTTCCATATTTCGAATGCACTGCTCCGATTTTAATGATGATATCAACACTCCTCGTCTTCTACGTAATTTTTAAAATCCTCCGCACCACAACAGTGGCGAATGACGACGGAGAACACTAAAATCGCACATGGGTTCCGAGTACACAATGTTCATAAATACGGGTTCCATGTCAGTCCTTCTATAGAAAAACCAGGATTTTTTGCGCTTAGCCCAGCGATGTTTACGACGCTTGGTCGACACTCTTGCCAGTAGACGCGTCACTTTGGGTAAACTACTTTTTACGATCGGTTTCCTTGGGCAGGAAGTTCCATTATGCAGACTCTCCCGCAAGTTTCTGGTGTAGCTGTTCCTCAGAATTTTTCTTGATTTCTTTCTCTTGGCTGCCCTTGCCTTGGGAGCATCAGCCCTTTCACTCTGCGTTGGTCTTGGCTGCCTTATTCGAGATGCTGACGTTGTCTCGACATTTCGCATTTTACAAATATATGTCGTGCCAACCACATTCGCTCTAATCTTGACTTCTGTGGCTTACTCGAAGTGCCGTAGTTTTGATAAGTACTGGCAGTAGGCTACTCTTTTCTCGTTGACTTTGAATTTCTCTTCTTTTGGCGAAATGGCCTTGATTTCCTTTCATCTGGTGTTTGGTTGTACAGACGTGAGGGCTGCAATACAACAAAATCTGGCGTTTTCGGCGTGCAATGAACCTCGAGGTCTGGTGTGCATCTTTTATATTTCCAGATGCCTTCTGCGTTTTCTTCGTGCAAGTCTCTTTCAGGATGTGCACTTGAGTTGTTGTAACTGTTGTATTATTTGCTTCGTTTATATTGCACGCTGATGGAAGTTCTAAAGGCGTGGGCCAGTTTTTTGCAAGCATCAGTTGTTCTTTACAAGCTTGGATGCTCGTTACGGTGGTGAAATCAGCGACTTTCCGGCTTCCAGCACGTTCAGCAATTCGTCGTCAATCTGAGTCGTCCGGCTTCCGTAGAACAAGATTGATGCTGAAGAAGCAAAGGTAGGATGGCAGCGCCACAGATGAAGAGTGCATGATAGCTTGTACATCTGTCCAAATCATTTGCCTCATGGCCTCCAAGCGAGCTTGTCGAGCATTTTATACGTATGCGATCTGATATTTCACTCTGACCATGGCTAGAATGTTCTGGGGTTCATAAAGCTCTGCTTCTTCCAATTCTGCTTCCAAATGATCGATGTCAACTGTGCTTTCAATCTCCTCATCAATTCCTCTGAAAAGCTCGTACAGTTAAGTCAAAATTTGGTGAATGTTGGGCGATTCGAATATTGATGGGTGGTTCATATGGTACAGGTTTTTCGATATCTGCGATGACCTGCGTGACGGCTTTGCATGTTTGACTCTGCCTTTCGTAGAGGGTCTCCATGATCTAGTCCAGTGTCGGAAACGGGAGAGATCATTGGCCGGCCATGTCACGAGGCGAAGTCGGAGTCAACACGGCATCCATCGCAGCAGGTTCGCACAACGAATATCTGTCACTTGTCGGGCTGTCGTCCGTCTTGATGTTGTGCGTACCGGGCTATTGTCGTGAAGGGCAAGTCAAGACTGATCAGAACAAGACGCGAGGGCTACCGTCTCGCGAGCCTCCAGACGATGCCTGCACTCACGGGGCTGCACTGTCAAAATGTGCGTCGTTGATCTATGGACTGCCTTGACTTGCGAATATCGAGCCGTCGTCGTCGCGACGGATGAGTCAGGAGGGAACCGAAGTAGACGTGAGGGCTCCCGTCTTGCAAACCTCCAGACGATGCCTGCACTAACGTCAGTCCATGGGTGCTCCTAGTAGTCTTAGTTGCAACCGCAGTCGTGCTCCCAGGTCACAGCGGTGGTTAGGCCTCGCGCATCTGCTTTAGTGACGGCGGCTTCACAAAAGTCCTCGAGACTGCGACTGCAGTCGAGATTCTTGGGGTCCGCTCCATCTCACCTCCGAAGGTCCTTCCTCCCGGGTTTCACCGCACCGAAATGTAGAGCAAAGGACAAGCCGCCATCTCCATGGCGAAGCCCACCCGTCGGTCTCTTTATTCTTTTTTTTTTTTTTTTTTTTATTGGCGTTAGTATGCCCTACGGCATCAGTTAAATAAAAAGGAAAAGTTTTGTTTCCTGTATGAAGGCCAGGAGTTGTCGATGCAGTGGACCGTGCGTCCAGCGCGTCAAGTCAGGTGGTCGGCCGGGGTGGTGGTGAAGGCCGCGTAGGTGGCGAGTGCGAGCCTGGTGAAGGCCCGGGCAGGTTCCCAATAGGTGATCAAGCGTTGCCTCTGTGGCTGGGGCAACGCAGAATGGGCACGTCGTTGGGGGAGGCTGTGCACCAGATGTCCATGTAGCCCGGATTGCAGGAGTCAAGGCGGCGCCCACACGAATCCTCCTGAGCGCAACCTCCTCTCGGCGAGTTAAGCCGCCGGGAAGGTCAGATCCACGCGGAGGAATGAGAGCACGCGTGGAGCGCCGGAGGGTCTCTTTATTCCGAATGCACTGCTCTGATCTTAATGATGATATCACCACTTCTAGTCTTGTACATAGTTTTCAATAGATAGATAGATAGATAGATAGATAGATAGATAGATAGATAGATAGATAGATAGATAGATAGATAGATAGATAGATAGATAGATAGATAGATAGATAGATATAGATAGATAGATATATAGATAGATAGATAGATAGATAGATAGATCGTAAGATCGATAGATAGATAGATAGATAGATAGTAGATAATAGATATATAGATAGATAGATAGATAGAGCTAGATAGATAGATAGTAAAAAAAGCCTACAGTACGCAAAATTTGCTTTGCATATTAAAACATGTAATAGTCAGTGCCGCGCTCGGGCGACGAAAAGAAAAAAGCGTAAACGTGAGATACATGTTTCATTTCTACGTGAATATTTTGTGTGGTCGAGGTAGTACGCATGTCTAGCCATATGCACGAGACTGCTCATGCACAATGGCCATCGTTGGCTGCATCTTCGCGCAGTTACATGGTCTAAAAACAAAAATAACAACACAGCAGAACCATCAGCAGGTCCCCCTTTTTTAAGCACACAATTTGTCAGTCATTTGGTAGATGCCTTCAGCTTGGACATTTGCGCATTATGATTTTGCAGCAGCTCGTATTGCGGGAAAAGACCTGGAGTGCGGCCTCAATAGTGATGAGAACTGGTAATCCACTTCCTCACAAGAGCAGGAGTGCTTACCCTGGTGCTTAACTCGCTGATACTTCCTACAAAAATTAACCTATTAATCCTCGGCTCTCAGCCCTCAGCGCCTCTGCCGCAACTAGCGAAGGAGGCGCTAAGACCTGCGACCCAGGAAGAGTGCGAAGAATCACTGGGTCTGGACACGTCGCCATTAGAATCTGAACTTGGCTACATTAAAGCTAAAACGTTATCTAGTGCAGTGAGTCTGGCTTTGCTATTTGAGAAATTAGAGGGTGGTAAAAAGACGTCACTGGAGCCGTGGTGAACCCCGGCATAAACACGTCCGTGTTTAAAAAATTGGCAACATTATGATGCGGTATTATTTACTCATCTCCAATGTTTATTAGACATTTATTGTGTCTACAGCAGTTTTTTGCTTCGTATATTTCGTTAAATTTTATAAGGCTTGCGCTTTCACGCACTGGAAGATGGCCACATGGTTATACGTTGACGAACACCTTACTCCTCGGACTTTTCCTCGCTCCTTCCAAACATGTTTTGAAACGCCTCTGCTGCAGCTTCAATTACACCTGGAGCAATCGCTTCAGCTCTGTAGGGGCAATGATCAGCGCAACTGAAAAATTAAAATAAAACAGGAAGTACATTTTGAACAAGCACATAAATACGCAGAATATGTACAGTATGTATATTTTATATCCAATTACATTTTGAAAATATACGTCAACCTCAGTATGACGAAACACATTTACCATGTATTGACTACACTAATACAAAAAATTAAGTTTTTTTTTTTACAAGGGCAGTACATTGCTATGAAAACCATTCGAAAGGTGTACATTTTCTCAGTGTTAATGCAGGCACACTAACTACATGCATTCATGCACAGTGATCAGAATGTGACGCTCCCGTTCACGTTTTGCGTAAACGTGTTTTTATAAATTCAGCAACACTTTGTGCAAGCAAAACAAAAATTGCGAGTCAAATTTTGAAACACTCTTAATACAACGGCTCCATAGTCTTCGCTCCAGTGCCACGATAAGTTGCCGCCAACAATGGTACCGTGAACTGGAAAAAATTTAACATTACTTCACCATCAGTGGAAGCCACCGACAGGTTACTTTGGTACGTATTTGTTATGTAGGCTTAATCCTTGCGTGCTAACATGAGCTCAGTTTGAAAGCGTTAAGCCACCATGTTCTATGAGGTGAACGTGGCATGTCCGAATAAGTGTTTAAACGCTTGTTTAATATCTGACCGGTGTATCGGCAATTTGGTACTTAATGCGAGAGCTTTTTCACATCTATATGCACTGGCATTATAATAAATCCATGGAAGTTTTCTCACACGGCGAGAAAACTTAACGCGAGGTCTAGCTAAAACGCTCACTGAGCACCAGCTTGCTTAAATAAAAGTTGAATAGGAGATCCTTGAAGGCTGGTTAGTTGACTATTAAGGGTGACGTTAAATTATCGAAACTAGTGAAGACAGAAGCAACAAGCAAGTCTGACAGGCCTGTGGTGTCTTCGCTGTACTTTCCACCTCTTGTCCTTTGTAGTGCAGCTTTAACATTATCGAAATTATGTTAAGCGAAAAGTTCATTTAGATACAAGTGCCTAGACTTACCGAGTGCACTAGCAAGCCCCATAGCAAGATACTTGGCAAGGAAGCTGTCCATGTCTCACAACTGCGAAGATGAAAGATAAAACGAGTTATCCCCGTGAAAACTACAAACGTGTGGGAAATCATGTGCGTTAAACCACAGTGACAAAGAACTTACCACTGTGTCATGTTCTTTGGCATAAGATGAATGAGAATGGAGCCTGATTACAATATTTAGCTGTGCTTGCTAGCTTATTTCTGAATGTTCATCACAGATGCTGACAATTTTCTGAGAGGAGCCTTAATAAATACATGATATGCGGTATTAATGCAGACACCGTCTTTCAAAATGAGTGGTCTTAAGCTATTGGATTGTTACATTCAATGTTCGTGTCCAAATACTCAGTGAAAAAAATGCTAATCACATAAGAAACTCGTGCACTTCCCCTTACAAGCATTTGTAAACTATGTGAGCGGTAAATATAAAATGTGCAAATTTAGAGGCTAGTCTATAACAGTGTTTTGAGATGGTATCCATTCAGCGGCTCTAAAGACGTTTATTACATGAAAGGTACTCCTACATAATGACCTAGTTGTCCATAAAGAACCACGCCGCTCCCCCGTGATCTCGGAAACCATGGGCCAGTGGACGAGTGCTGTTTAATATGCGATGCCTCTTATGACAAGCGCCACAGGCGATGCCAGCAGTAAGTAGTCGTCTGCTGCCAACAAATCGAGCATGAAGCGCCGGCACGGTCAGAAAGCTGCAGACATCGCCCGTTACGCGAGCGGAGAGGCAGCGTAAGCTAACAGACCCCGTGTCCACCTCCGACAAATGGCCATTCATTCGTCGATAGCTGCTGGCGAAAAGTGGGCATGTTTTCGTTTGTCGTCGGCTGACGGAGCTGTATGCAGCCGTGGCAATACCGCTGCAGAGCACATACCTCAAGCTCTAGCGTTCCCTTTCATAAACAGCGGCAATGTACAGTCCTGGTGAAAGTTTCACAGGCTACGCTTCCTTAGAAATACATGGGAGAGTGGCCTGTGAACTTTTGATCTCCATCCCCACCCCCTGTACATCTCGAACTCATGTAGGCAAAGATAAAGCGCCCGAAACAGGCAAAAGTGCCGGCATAAGAAACATGCGACGACTGTTGAAAGCTTTCTGTCTTTTTCACCTCGTTATAGCTCACTTACACTAATAGAGAACAAGGTTCTATGCTGCAGCTATGAAGGCATTTTATTTTAGGTACTTCTTTTCTAGGTCACATAATATGACCATGGGGTACCTGACGATTATACTGACAATGTACCAAATAATGCAAGGCTCTTACGTGAACGTACCACGGTATGTGTAGGATGCAGGTCGTAGTGGCAAATTACGGATTGCTTTGTACAACTTGTGTTTTTTTGAAGTTCATTGATGTTAGGTCCACTGGTGTTCTAGTACTTAAACCTATCAAAAACCGGTCGTTGTGGCCGATAATTTAGTCCTCATCTTTCAAGTTAGCAGGGCAAAACTTCTCCGAGAAGCTGGCGCTGTGTGTTCACACTATAGAGCTGGTTCAGGTCTTCCACGCAATAGGCCGATAAATGTGCTTAGGAGTATGGTCTCTAGTTACTGCATGTTTTTCTATAATAATTATAAAGCAGTTATGTTGCTTGAAAAACGTCATATGAGCACGTCCACAACTAATTACAAAGCTGTAATCTTGCAACAAAACGTTCGGATCTTCAAAAGCTATAAGCACTAATTTTTTTGCTCAAGACATGTGAGACACATTGCAGCAGAGAACGTGTAGAGTATAGTGGGCGGCCGATATGTCAACATGGTTTTTAAAGTTGCAAAGGGTTTGCGGCATATGTATGGCTCGGATGACAGTAGTATTTCTTTACCTAAAACGCTGTGTTTACAAGAAAGATTGCGTATTATTTATAGTCAATACGTTTTCAAATAGTGACCCCAAAATACGTTTAACCAGCTATTGCGCAAAAAAGTGCATGCAACTTCTGATATTGCATTTAACCTTTCATACTACCTAAATCGAATTAATTATTCGATACAGTGTTTTCAAATACGTGCTCCTATATTAAATACCATGTCTCGCGGCTTTGATTCAGCCTAACAAGGAATGTCTATATTTTAAAAGGTTAATAAAGCAGCAGAACATTTCCCTGGCTAATGTGACGCCACTCTGCTCGAACATTCGGCATCTATGAAAATTATTTCTTACCGGTCTGCCTTTCAATTTTGTTAACTACGTTGCCTAAAAGAACGTGTCTATAAACATGTGAGTTTAAAAAAAGGTCTGCTAATTCCTTTGGAGTTCAAAATTGCACTTTTAATACCTCGTTCAATAGAGCTCTTCAAATTACATGCTGAAGGTTGCTTCGAGTACGTAAATAGTTCTGTTAACTAAAAAGAATACGACGGAGGACAGTTGTTGCAAGCGGTTGCTCATATTTGTTCTTTGCGTATGTCCAAATATTTTTCGACTCGAAGTATGAAGTACTAGTGTTTACTTTTTCGAAATCAAGAAAAAGCTTCAGGAATTGAAGTCTTACCGTATTTGACAAAAGAGGTGCGTGATCTGAAGACCCGATGCTGTTGTTTGAACGCGCAGAAGAGGGTTTGGTCCTTTTAAATGCCACGGAAAGAATTCCGACTCATTAAGTTAACATGTTTGGATGGCAAAGAGCTTTGGACAGAAAATTGAACTTTTGAAGCGGACAGGCTAAGCAGCGTTTTCACTTTTTGAGTTGATGATTATAAGAATGCCATGTTCATTTTTTTCTGCACACGTGTGAGATGAGTGACGGGAAACGTCAAACACTAGAGGATAAAATAGCAGCTTGAAATGCAGAGAATACAAAGTTAGCCTAGTTTTCCACAGCGTGCCCATTTATAGAAATTCCACGGTGTAAACTTTATCGCTGTTTTTCTTTAACTGTCATAAACAATATACCTGCGAGGGTAATATAACTGATAGCATGTGAATGACAACGCATCTAGTGAATACCACCCAATTACTGCGCGACACGATGCAACTCTGAAAGTTCACGGACAAATTTCGGGCACAAAACCATTATATCTCACACGTCTAGCGATCTTGTAGGCCACAGGAACAGAACATGCTGCTGCGAACCTCACTTGTCCTTCACATTCAAACGAATATGCGAAATATATTTTTATGGTGCCAAACTCACTGAGATACATTAACAAAAACGCCACGTGGCATCAAGGTCTCGCCAGTGCCGTGTCATGTTGTAATAGAAGATGAAGCTCTATGACGGGTATACCCCAGGTCACGTATGCGTCTTCATTGAAGGGTTGGGTGTTCGTGTCTTGAATCAAAACACCTAGGCAGGTTAAATGACACTTCTTGTTCAGTATGAACACGATAGAAGTATAGTATTGCCAATAACATTTTGCTCACCTAAAAACGTGAAGGTGGCTACGTGAGGGCAAATATATTGTCGCGGTTATAAATTACAGGGGTTTATTTAAAAACATGGACGGTGGAACTTGCTTTGCTTGCTTGCTTGTTCCTTTCTTTGTGGCTCTCACCCACTAAGGGGGATTGGCCAAGAAGCCGGTGGTTATGCAAGTAATACCTATAGATTCTAGATTAGGGGATATGATTACTGTGTTTTGACTGTGAAATTAATTTGGCGCAATGTCAGAAAAAAGAAAAAAAAGGGGGGGGGGGAGAAATAAGATTTGTTGAATATCTGTGGTGGAATCGTTATATAATCTCCTAAAGTTGAATCATTGCAGTGTATCAGCTAAATACTAATGGGTATGTGACTAGTAAAATTCGAGAGCTGATGCTGACTCGCAAGGTAGTCTTCTTGTGTTATAATGAATTGTCGCAGAGAGCCCCGCAATTGTTCCCTTCGCTATATCCCATGAATGGCCCCAAAAGACCAATATTGGGAGTATTAATGATATTCCAACTTT